CGGATATTCACGAATTTTAAATACATTTTTTTTTTTTTTTTTTTTTTGTTTTTAAACGAGAAAATTTTTCCGCTCATGGATTCGTAAGATTTAACATTTTTACATAGTGCTTTGCGACTGTCCGAATAATAAGGACATAAAATTAAAAACTTTGTGAAAAATATACTTGTTAATAATTTTTTTTTACTCTACAACAATTAGCTTGTTGATTTACTGAAAATGTTCATCGATGATGAAGAATCCCTCGACCCACTGATGTACTTAATATATATAACCTGATGGCATCAATTTTACAGCTGCGCCACAGTGGCGCATCAAACTGTGTATATATGGGTATATACGTATAGAGGGTACACGAATAATGCCAAACCCACGCAGACATGCAGTGTTTATGTAATTAATGTAATATGTATAATTTTACAAGTCTTATTAACATATTACTTATGTTATTTGACGTGTCAATAAGCTGCTGGGTTAGCTACATATTTACGGCTAATACCTACCAGACTGCGGCTGCGTGTTTATATATGTTTGGCTATATGTATATATAAAGCAAGTTATGATGACGTTTTACTTTACGCCAGCTGTTGTCGTCTGCTAAACAATCATACACCCTATATATATATCTGTATATATCATCATCTTGTACAGTATTTATCTTCTCGCCGGTTCCAGCTGCTGCTATTTTTTTCCCTCCCTATAAACGTACTTACAATTTATACTTATCCACCATAATACAAGTAATCCCCTTGTTGAATCCACGTTCGAAACAATGCTTCGAATTGCCGTGCTCGTTCTTATTTGTTGCTTACTCTCGGATAGTGTTGGTTCAACAACGCAAAGTCTCGAAACTGTCAGCGATGACGAACTTATAAAACGCATCAAGAATGAAAACGTGGTCGTTTTGTTCAGTGAGTGCCTCTTTGCTTTTACATCTGTTCTGCAACATTTTTCTTTTCTTTCCTTTTTTTTTTTTCGTTTTTTTTATACTCTTGCAATTACAACATTGTCGTATCAAGTATATAAGTAAAGATTTTTTGCATGACAATGAGATCGCAATGGTAACATTTGGTAGATAATTCATATTAAATCAGAACAAGCATTGTCCTGAAATTCATCAGGGATATTCAACTAATGTTTGCAGCAAAAAAACATTGCAAAACCTGCGATGATGCAGAAAACGAACTGCTGCACGTCAGGGAGGATTTGGTTGACTCGCTGTCAGCATGGGTCGTGCGAGCAGTAAGCAGCCAGATGCTGAGGTTATACAGCAACCACGAAGAACCTGCCATTGTGTTCTTTAGAAAAGGAATACCCATGCTGTACAATGGTAAGACGAGCAAAGATTTTTTTTCCAATTCACCTGAATTTCATTTTTACTATTTACCTTTAATTCCAGGAACACTGGAAGATGAAGAAATTTTAAGAACGTTCATAGAGAATAAAGAACCCATTGTGAAAGAGTTAACAGATGAAACCTTTGAGCACTTAACTCAAGCAAGTAGTGGGGCCACAACAGGGGATTGGTTTGTTATGTTGTAAGTATAAAATTTAATGAAAACCTTAGCCGTCACACTATAATTACAATGGAGAGGTAATAATAAGGTTTTTTCTAATGCAGTTACAGTACAGATTGTGTTGATTGCCAAAGATTGGGAGCTCGTTGGGAAGCCGTGGGTGCCAAGTTGAGGCAAAAAATGAATGTTGCACGTGTCAACAAATATTCAACTGGAGCTTCTACAGCTCGAAGATTTGGCATATTCGAAGTTCCTCAATTTATTCTGTAAGATATCTTGCCATCTGATTCAGTATATTTATTTTATTTATTTATTTATTTATTTTTTTTAATATATATATAACTATGAAAGCCTTGTTTTTCACTTGCCAATTTTTACATTATAGATTTAGGCATGGCAAAATGTACAGCTATGTCATTCCAAAACATGATATAAATTCATTTGTCTCGTTTGCGGAGGAATGGTACAGAAATGTTCGCGGAGAAAAAGTTCCTACCCCTCAGAGCCCCTTGTACGTACATTTATATTCTATTATGCAAAAAAGTTGTGAATTGTACTGAAAATTTTTAAAATATTTATTCACATTCTTATACATTTGATAAAGTATAATTACTTCTATTACAGCGACGACTTGATACAAAGAATAGTGAATTTCTTGAAAGAAAATCCATGGGTGATGAAACTCACCAGTATTTCAATTGGTGTACTGGTAATTGTGTCAGTGGTCAGTAAACTGAGAAAAAAGACTGAAGTACCACAGAAAAAGAGTAAATAAGATGACTACGATTCTGAATTCTGAATCATCAGAATGTACATATGTGTAAACAATTATGAAATAAAATTAAAAGACTTTTTTTCAAACAGCGACAGTTTACATTATGATACAAATCAAATAAAGATTCATCAATTTATAATTTTAAACCAGCAACAAACACTATTTTTTTATGTCTTTGCAACAAATTCAGTACAATAAATTTTTCTTAATTATATCCATAAATAATTACACATATTCCTATTACATAGAATTATTATTTATAGATACGGCATTTCCAAATTTTCAAAACACAGGAATGTCATCAGAGTGCAATTTTAGTTAGTAAACTTGGAATGGATTTTAGTGGCTTAGAAAAGTAAAAAAACAAACATGTCATGTATATACTTATCACAATACAAGATACACAGTGAGATGTGTATTATAAGTTGAGCACTGGGTAGAACAAACTTCTTAGTACATTTTTCGGTTTTATAAAACTTATTTGTTTCTTTGTTTAAATTCAAAGATATTTTACTATAGACGATTCGTTTAACTCTCATGTAGTTAAAAAACTACTATATGCTAATTCTTATTTTTATTTGTAGAAATAATACTTATAAAATCCTTAGTATATCTGACTATTTTTCACACAAAAGCATATTTATAAATGGATATTTGAAATACTTATTAAATCAAATTCAATTGCAAAAAATACCCTTAACACAAATGTTTTTAATTTCAATTATTTACTAATAACCACTTTCAAAGCATCTTATACACAATCTTTACACTTGTGCTAAATATTGTCTACAGATAAATTTATTCTAAAAACAGTCGAAGGATTGGCAAGAGCCACTCTAATATTGTTCTCAAACTTTTCTTGAATAGAAGAAAATTCCATCATGTTGCTCGGTTTTGATTCTATCCAAAACCCATCAAATTCATAAAATAGGTAACAATAAAACTGATGAAAGGCACGGATAGACGGTAGAGTTTTAGATGAATTGTAAATATGTGTCTTTACTGATCCATCTTTTAACAAGCGCAGAGCCATGCTCGTCAAATTAATGCCTACAATAGCAAAAGCGTAACCATATTTGGGATGCATGGAATGCGACAGAACGTGTGTTGCAGCGCTTGGGTACTCCTGGGCAAAGTAGACCAGGTTTTCTAATCCTAGCATACCCATCCCTCTAAAGTCAGTCTTTGGATCGTCTCCTTGAAAGCCAATGTCTTGCCATTGTTTAGTTATCCTTGCATCAAGTGGATCATAAGGCATCAGTAAGTCCCACAATCGTAAAAGCAAACTTTCATGTAAGGGATTTTCAGAATCGTATTGCATTTGTCTCAATTCTTCACACTGCATGCAAAGTTGTCTGTATCCCCATATCAACTCTACACATTTGCCAAATGCTTTGGCAAAATCAGGATGCGCTGTAGGATTGATTTTTTTGGTTATCAGAATAGTTTTAATAGCTTCTTCTAGAATTGCTCGCTCGGTCCTAACATTGATTCTCTGCTGACTAGCAACATCATCTAAATAAGATAACAATGACTTAACATCTGGGTTTCTCGAAAGTCGAAGGGAATGTTCCACAGCAACAGTACGAGGTGCTCCTACGGGTTCTCCATAACATATCCTTTGAAGCTCACACATATGTGTGGTATGGCGCAATATCCACTTGATAAATGGTCTGAGGTACCAGTTTATAAGTGACCAAATATAACGAAACATCATTTCATCAAAGCATGGATAGTTTTGACAAGTTAAATATTAGTACTTGACTTTTTTTTATGTACAGTTTTATAAAATTGATGCTCTCAAAAGTCAAAAAATTGCTTTAAATGTATTGACTAGATGATAATGATATATTGCAGTATTTGTTAAATAACGACATTTCTTGTTAGCACTAAATCACAAATTCTCATTCAAGAATATGTGGTGCACTCGTTGAGTTGATCATTCTACTACAATGCAGTAAAAAAAAATTTTATCAAAAACACCTCATGCTCTCAATTTTTTTAAAAACCACTTTTGATAAAGTTCCAAAACCCTGGATTATTACTGACATGACATTGCAAAAGAGCATGAGTATTGACATTAAAAATAATCATAGTAAAAACCTGAAATACAAAAATAAAAAGATTAGTCAGGCAATTACATTTATCTAGGTATGGAAAAAATTGTAATACACTTACCTCAAAGGAGAAAAAACTGGTAGAATCAACTTGGCACGTGATCAGCAAAATCTTTAAAATGAAAATGGAATTGTGAACAACAAATTTTGAAAATTCAATAAAGTGAGTGTGCTTACAAAATTATGTGAATTATGAATGTCAACTTTTAAAACATAAATAAATTTTCAGCAGCTGTAACCTCAACACATTCCACTTTAAAGAGCGTAATAAGCATTAAAAAAAAAAAGATGTGAAACAAAGGTGTCATAAGTAAATACCTTGACAGAGTACACAATTGTACTGTAGTCAGTTGATTCGAGGGACAAGCGTTCGTGAGATTTTGTAGTGTTTTAAAACTGCGTAGCGGCGCAATAACATCAACAATACCAAAACCGAGACTTATAACCAAAGATAAATTTTGAAAAATACGTGATTACCGAAAAATGTGGCGCAACGTTTTATAAAACACGCGAGCGATTTTAATTGAACAATGACAGCCCGCGATCTTGTATACAATTAACTCTTCGAGTAACTATCTAATAAGTATACGGTTAAAATATATTATCACTCCATCGCCATTTTAATAAACTGTTTTGATGATGCGGCATCATAGTTACAACAGCATGCTGACAGTCTGCAGACGCCTATTTTTTTTTTTTATAATCCCGTTTATGTAGATTCCTGCTCTATCTACACCTAACGTTTGTTTGATTCAAAAATTTTACGCGAGAGGCGCTGTCGTACCTATTCTCATAGAATTCAAGAATATTGAGTATCCACTTCATTTCTTTTCTCAAAAGAGAAAGTTTTTTTTAACGGTGAAAGTTTCCGAATGTACAAAAATTAAGGTTACACCGACCTAAACGTTTCAACAATTTCTATTGGTATACTGTTCATCGCTGCATTTTAAGTTGGGATGCTGTAGTACTTTTGTTCATTATTATCCCGCACATCTTTGTTATTCATGTATATCCAACGAGAAAAATTCTTCCATTGCTCTATTGAAGTTCCAAAGCGAAAATCGCTTATTTATTCATATACATGTACCATATGTTAAAAAAACTAATTTGAAAAGAACTCATATTCCCGATAACCAAAAGTGGTTGCTCTGTTTTTATCACACATTGCTTATTCTTTGAATCGTTTTGATACAACATAATAAATTAATATTTTTCCTCCAACGTACGTTTCCCAAAAAAAAGTTGTAAATCTCGTCGAAACGCAAAATCACTTTGCACTTTCCTCTCTTGATGAAAAAAAAAATAAAATTCTTGACAAAAACTACATTTCTATTCAATATTGAGTGCAAAAGTTGTAGACAAGCATAGAGCTTGTAATCGGTAGTACATCCATGTTTAACTCCAGAATGCAACTGTAATAAAAAAAAAAAAAACAATGATTTGTTGAAAAAGTTGGACTACTTATGCACTCGCTAGTAAATACTTTTATTACGATTATTGCAGTAAATTCGATCGCACGGTGCCATACGGAAAAAGCTGCTGACTTCAATTTGTTGTTAAAAAAATATATAACCTATACACGAGAAGGACACAAAACAATCGACGCACAAAGTAAGTAAGTATACACGCTTGTGCTGAAAGCACCCATCATAACCCGCGTTTCCTTCGATCGCGAGCAGTTCGAGGCTGCCACCAGCCGACATGGATGAATAAATAAATTGATTTTCAGACAAAACCGAAGAATCGAGAAGCGAGTCGATTAAACGATCCGTTGGAGCTGGGAAGCGACGTTTAAAACCTATAGAGGGTGAGAAAGTGCGCGTAGTGTGTGGGTATATGTACATACAGGAGACTCCGGACCATTGGTGGTGACGATGGCGACGATGAGCCGGGGGCTAGTGACGCGATGGGCGAAAAACAAGGGGCAACAGTTGCAATTGATGGGTACGCGACGTTTCGGCAACGTGCACGACCCGTTGGGGTTCGAGAGGAAGATCATCGGTGACCGGGAAATCGTCGGCTACGGCACGAACGGCAACCCGACCTACTTGGACGAGGCCACCTACCCCTTTTCGGCGATTCGCTACCGCAGCTGCACTCCCGAGCTCATGGTCGTACAACTTAAATATCCGAACCATCACAATATTATATACCCTCTATTATCTCTCTCTCTCTCTCTCTCTCTCTCTCTGTTTGTGGCCAATTTTGTATGAATATGCGAAACGTGTGCACAGGCGATTAGAGAAAAAGAGCGAGGCGACTGGAGAAAACTGAGCGCCGAGGAGAAAAAGTTCCTGTACAGAGCGAGCTTTCGACAGACGTTCGCGGAAATGAACGCGCCAACGAGCGAGTGGAAAGTGGTGCTGGGCGGTGTCCTCATTGGTTTATCCCTGTCCTTATGGATGTACCTGTTTGTCCATCACAAAGGCAAGTTATCTATATCCTTGAACATTACATTAGGTTACATTATATATGTGTATGTATACCGGTATATATTTATGTTGGCATGAATTTTAATCGTCATCCCAGTTTAGGAATAATGTGTTTTTTTTACCTGTCAATTTACTTACGAAGCAGGAGCGATTAGTTTCACTCTTTCTCAGGGTCGATTCGCGTTTCGATCTTTTACTGTTATACTCGCCAGGAGTGCACGCTTTGCTTATTTATAGTGGCCCAAAATGGGACTCTTTGGATAGTTATCTTTTTTTTTTTTTTTCTTTTTTTGTTTACCCCTGAGCGTTTCTTGGCCATTTTATCGTATTTTTACGTTACTGCCGCATGGTTTTACATTTTTTCATGGATGCTGCTCTACAAAAATAATAACGACAAAAATAATGACGTTTCACGCGTTGCAGTGCACATTGAGTTTCCCAAATCGTTCAGCCACGACAGCCGAATCGCCCAGTATTATCGGAAGATCGTCATCAACAATCAGCCGTTGACCGGTAACGCCCGACCACCGGGTGCTGAACTGAGGGTTCACCCGAAAAACCGGGAGATGTTCGAGAAAATGACGGGAAAAGTCAGCCCCATAACCGGCAACAGTACAAGCAACAACACCAGCACAAGTGGACGATGACATTCAACGGCTCGAAGTACTGATTGAAAAATGTTGTATAGACGTGTTGGTTTTCTCGTTGGCGATATTAATATTTGTTGTTTCAATCAAATTGGATGTTTGCAATAAAAGCCTGTTTTTCATTGTCACTCGATCGATCGTAATATAAAATATTGACACATAGGTATGCGAGCAGTTAACGGTAAAAAAGACGTTTGCGATGTCTCGTGGAGGAAAAAAAATTAAAACTATCCGAGGAACCGAATAAGCGATAAAACGCGTGGAAAAAGTAAGTAGTTGAAAGATATACTTGAAGGTTGATACGGAAAGGAATCCGTAGCGCGTAGGCCGACATTTGGAGAATATCGCTCGAGCGGATGAAAAACCAGTCGTCATAGTTGGGATTCTATTATAACAAAATTTCTCTACTACCGAACGGAGCTTTAGTAAGAGGAGAGCGTCGGTACGGGGGGGAAAAAAAAAATTGAGCTGGAAAAAAAAAAAAGTTAAAACGCGCGATGAGCAAGCTCTCTCGATATCTCTATGTCTTGTAGGTTGTACGTGCACGTGGATGCAACGATATCCCTTAATTTTACCATCACTTGGCGGCGATTATAATACATGGAGAAAAATGTGTGTCCAGCCTGGTTGAAGGTGCGTGGGTACAGGTGATCGGTGTTAACGTGGTTGGGCGACAAACACTCGCTCGCGGACTACTTATGCCCCGGTACCGCCCGACGCCGCTGACACCGAATCCCATATTTCGAGCTGCTCGAATGCTCACGTATATACCTGGACTACAGAGTTATATCGGTGTACACAGTGCCACGACACTGCTCTTCCTTTCTTTTTCTTGTCCATCTTCGTTGTGTGTGTGTATGTTTTTTCTCTCTTTGCTTTTGACTCACCATGTATAATGCACTTGTACTTGGGGAACGTGTATATTTATACTCGCTCGAGAAGGAAAACCAAACCAGTTCTCCTTATGGGAAACTCTGCGACGTCTCTCTACATCTTAAATATTATACGTACGAGTATAATTTTTAAACGTATATGTTACACGGAGGTATATGATCTTAATCGGAGACGGTAACTCGTTTTGTACTGGTATATGCAGGGTATACCTGTAAATAATGTAAGATTATTAAAATCTCTGATTTTTCGGACAATGTACTCAATATGGAACTGTCAATATATGATGAATAGGTATATATATATATATATATATATTCAAGTCCGGAATTTGTTGTCAGAGTGTTTGTTTTTTTTTTCTTTTTCAATATCGTAATTTTTACGCAGTCGAATCATCGAATAATAAACGGTTAATTGATTAGTACGTTGTGTATGCTATACGCGGTAGCTTCCCCCGCGTTTACCACGTAAATGTACCTGTTACAGTGGCTCGCGGGTACAAGCGCCAATGAGAATAGTAAGTTATACACCTTGCCTTCTCGTTAAATTTTCCTCCTCACCCGGTTGGCATTTCTCGTGTATAAGAACATGGATTCTAGCGCTGATCCGACTAGCGCGGATATCCTCACATGCCAATTATGTTAACGAGTAACGGTTTACCATGAAGCTCTTGTACATATATGTAGCGGCAGTGGCAGTGGTGCCGATACGCGCGCGCGCATCCCATACGCCCAATGTATAAGATCGTTGGATGTGGTTTTTTTTTTCTCCTTTTTTTTATTCAAATCTGACTTGGGTATACGTACATATATGTACTATATATACGAATATCTAAACGCGTTGCACAAAGTCATGTACAGAGCGCAACACGCGAGTTCGACGTACCTGCATTATAATATACGTACACTTATCAATTACGGAGAGAGAAAGAAAAAAAAAACCATCGAGTCTCGCAGCGATTGTTCTGCAGGTACTTAACGAAACCGTTGCTCTATGTGTATATTTATACGTACGTTATACCAAACGGGGTATTCGAGTGGGGGGATGGTGTTACTTTCATTACTCGTTCGAGTGACCAATGTCCACGGTACAGATGCTTATACCACTGTTATGGGTATACCGATCACAGATTGTCTACGGACAACGAAAAGATCGTTAGGTATTTCGCGTCAAATACGAAAACATCAACTTCAACATGTTGCTTCCAGTGTATCGGTCCACGGAGTTAATTTTGATTTAATCGCAGTATCGGTAATCGTTACACGCGGATTGTAATCGCGGGGATTCAAAGTATTATATGGCACTCGGGTAGAACACCATAACATGCACAGGTATACGAGCAATAGCATGCAGTGCGGCGGGAGAAGGAGGAGCCGTATACAAGATGAGCGCGGAGGAAGGGAACAAGTGAAAAGAGTGGAAGAGAAAGAGAGAGAGAGAGAGGCAAAGTGGTGGTGAGCGTATAAAAGATTCGCCGAGCGGCACTTGGTCTTCGTTTTACAGTCTCGGCTCGGCGAAGGAAGGAAGGAAGGAAGGAAGGAAGAAAGGAAGGAAGGAAGGAAGAAAGGTCCCGTCCTCCGCGTAGGGGACCGTTGCTCTTGACAGACAAATATAAAAAAAAAAATTAAATTAAATTAAATTAAACGGAAATCAAAGAAGCAACAGCTTCCCGGTTGCATATAGCGATTTTCAGTCAAGTACGCGGTTGATTTCGAGGCTTTACCGATTTCTCCAAGAGTCCTGTATTCAATCGAGGGTGAGTGTGCAATCGAAGATACGCCCGAGATCGCGTAGTGCGCGAACGACAAACATACCTAATTGTGCGCAAAACGTGCCAGAGGCCGATTTATCGGCTACAGACAGCTTCCTGTCGTTCCTGCTGCTGCTGCTGTTGTTGTTGCACTTTGCGCATATGAATACAAGTGACCAATTTGTTCGTGCGTTCGTGCAGTAAACTGTACCTATTGTTTCACGTTGTCACACCCCTTGCGCGAATCTTTCATCCTACCCTGCTACGTTGTTCGCTATAGTAAGCCCAAATCCCCCGGTCCACCCTATTGACACGGGTGGTGGATCAACAGCAGCAACAGCATGGAAAAAAAAAAACGCACCGATCCAACGACAATTGATAATTCGTTTTTGCTTGTTCCGATTTTTATAGCACGATGAAGTCGGCAGTGGTGCTGTTGCTGGCGCTGGTGGTGTGCTGCCTGGCGACGCCGCTGCCGCAGCAGTCCGAGGTGAAGATCGGTAAGCCGGAGCCGGCCCAGGCCGTCCAAGAGGCGAGACAGGCCGCGGCGCCGAGCGTCCAAGGGAGCACAGCCGAGGACGACGACGACGACGACGACGACGATGATCTCGACATCGGCGTCGAGGACGACGATGACGACGATGACGACGATGACGACGATGACGAGGACGACGATTACATCGAGAGAATCCTCGACGAAGTTCTCGGAGGTAAGTCTGGTTGTTTTTTTTGTTTTTTTTTTTTTTTTCATATAGTTTATCCTTTCATCCTTTGCAGTGCGCATAAATTCGTACCGATTTTTTTTTTTTTTTTTCACACTTTCCGATCCTTGATTTCTCAGCCGCGAAAATCGGTCGTTTGGCCGCGTGGTGAAGTGAAATTACCGATCATTCGTTTTCGTTCATTCATTCACCGTTTCTTCGGCAAGTGCGAATATTCATTTGTGTAAATGTTCGCGTGTGAACTGAAAACAATAACTTAACGGCTCTTTTCTCGATCAGTCGCGTCAATTTTTCTTAATCCACGTTCGATGCCCACACGTACAGGTATTCAATCACTGCATCAATATACTCGTATCTATTACAATCACAATCATGATGATACCAAATCTAAAAACTGTGTATGTATCAGCATCCGGTGTATGTAATGATGTACCTGGTGGCGTCGCAAAATAGTATATACATAATTATATACAATATAATCATGATGTACCCTACGGGTGAAGTTTGAACGGTCGGGTAGCGCAAATTCCTCGGCAAACGCGACGCGCGTGAATTCCGTTACTTACCCATAACTTATGCGTGATACCGCGCTGACGAGCACATAATATATATATATGCTGTCTCGTTCCGTATACCTATATATACGTAGTATGAACGTCAGGTGGTGGTAACGGGACAGGAGGTCACCGATTCGAGTTTTCGAGACGAGGATACTTATGTCCGTCTTTTTTCTCTCTTTCTCTCTCTTTCTCTCCATCCGCTCTCGATTCCCGTCAGCACCATTATCCGATTATCCGTCGTTTTATTTCAAAATCATCATCAGACGAGCAAAGCTGCAGCGACCGGTGCATCACATAGGTACATATGCCTATACGTACAAGCATACACATGTATAAATTGTCACATCGACGGAAGCTCCTCCTTTTCCTTTCCTCGTCTCACGTGTATGTACCTATATATATATAGGTATATA